TTGGCGGAACCGGGAAAGGATTTGTGGCCGGAGAGCGCAGGAAATCCCCGCTTATCCCTGTGGGGGCGGGGGGGGGGGATCGGGGTAAACTGGTCCTGTCTGGGGTGGGGGGGCAGGCCCCGGCAGCTGGGGGGGGGGGGGGGGAATCGGAGTAAGCTGCTCCTGACTGAGATGGGTGGGCAGCCCCAGGCAGCTGTGGGAAGGGGGGTCACGCATGAGCAGAGGGACACGGGAGGAGGGGAGGCTCTAGGCTACCTCAGGTGCTACCTCAGATGCTCACTCACTAAGGAAGAGGTGGTGCCGCCCTTGCCAGCTGTCCCCTAAACAGTGGAGAAACGGGTGGCGCACCTGCCTCTGGGGAGGAGAAGAAAGCGCTGTCAGAGAGAGCCAGGCTGGGGTTCGCTGGCTGGGGTGGGGATCGGGACCGGGGGCAAGGAGACTTTAAAAAGAGCTCCCATCTGCCCGCCTTCCCCCTGCCACCTCCCTCTCTGCGAAAGCCAGAGGGAACAGAAGAGCCCAGCAACCCTGCCAGTTAAGAAACCCTCCTGCCCCCTGGCCTGAAAGGAAGCTTCAGATGCAGGGCAGCTCCCTCGCAGCGGGGCAGTTTCGGACCAGCGCTTCTGGGGCAGGGGGTGGCCCTCCATCCCCCCCCTGCCCAGGGTGTGCTGCCTGCAAGGAAGCGTTGAAAGCCCCTGGACTAAGTTCTGCCAGCAGGGCCAGTTTAAAGTTCATGGTGCTTTTTGGCACAGCTTGTGAATTCAGGCACCCCCTCCCCACCCCCAAGAAAACCCTTTGAGCTGTGCCTCAGTTAAAGCCACACGACCTGATTCCATTCCCCCACCCACCCCCAGGCCAGGCCTGGCATATACTCCACAGGGCACCGCCTTTAGCTCCAGCCACTAGGAGAGTGACCAACTTCTCACCGGCTTTGGGTGGCTAATTAAATTCAGCATTTGTTTTGAAAGTTATTTCCATTCAATTACTATGGCCTGCCAGGAGTATTCAAAGAAAAATGTGAAATATGAGTTTCAGTGCCAGGTACTTGCACAAGTTCCACCGTTCTCTTATATCTGTGTGTCTCACCAACATTGCAGTGAGCTGCCAAGCAGTCAGGCCACAAGAATTATCTTGATAATTGATTGATTGAAACATATTGGCTGCCCAACTCCAATGGACTTGGCGCCCTTACAACAGCCCTGCCAGGCAAGCCAGAATGATATTCCCTACCTCGCCAACTGGGCTGGGTCAAGAAGTCCAGAGTGCTTCTTGTCAATGGTGTTGCCGTTGGACACTTTCACAGCCTCAAAAGTTGGGTTTAGGTGAACTGCCCCTCGTGGCCCCCCAGGCACCTCAGGCCACCCCCCTCTCCCCAACACTTCGTCTCGGAGGCCGAGCGTGGCCCTCACCTGGATGCTGACCTCCTCCTTGCACTGCCTCACGCTGTCCCGGCGAAGGACCTCCGCCTTGGGGACCACCTGCAGGAGACACGGTGGGGAGGGGAGGGGAGAGGAGCGGCCTGAGATCTCGGGAAGGCAGGCACCGCAACGTGGGGGGTGGGACACGGGGTGGAGGCTCACCTTCAGCGCAAAGACCTTCGCCTGAGTGCAGTCCAGCACTTTGAGGACGGTCCCAAAGGTGCCCTTGGCCAGAAAGCCCAGAATCTAACGAGAGAGGCAAGCGTGTGACGGCACAGCCCCCGCCCCCAAACCCTCCCCTCCTCATCGCCAGGGACCCTGGTGTGGCAAGCAGGGCACCCACCTTGAGCTGCTGATGCTGCACTGGAGGCTGAAGAGGAAACTCGGGCAGGAAGAGGGAGGCATGTGGGGGCGTTGGCCGCTCCTCACCCGCCGTCTCGGGGGGCTTCTCACCCCCCTGGGCCCACTCTGGCTTCGGGGAGTTTCTGGCGGCCAAAGCCTGCTCCAAACCCAGGAGAGTCCCACCGAGGCGGGAGAGGAGGCGCTTCCAGCTTCGTACCCACAAAGCATCCGGCAGGGAGCCCGTGCCGTAGCCCTGTGGAGGGGACAAGGGGGCATGACGGGCTCTGTCTGAGGCCAGGGCCCCGACCAGGGCTGGAGGGAAAGGAGAGCAGCCACCGGAGGAAGACCTCCAACGAAGGACGGCGGCGCCATCGAAGGGGGCGGCTTTGGACTTGGTGCGAAGACCCAGTTTGAAATCACACTGGTCTAGAGGGACGTGCGCCTTAGGGAAGACTCACCAGATGTAACGCCATGTGGGAGAGGCCTTGGGGCAAAGAGACGCTGCCTAGGGAAGGGTCAGGTAAGAGGGAGCGGAAAGGAGGCGGGCCGCTGCGCAGGGACACCTTCCTCCCCTCTCCTGGGGCTCGGGGAGGGTTCAGTGCGCGTGCTGGTGAAAGCCGCGTGTGCGTGCGTGGAGGTGCTTCGGCAAAACCGCAGGGGGGAGCAAAGGGTTCTTTGGGTGCCATCCTGTCATTTTGTGGGGATCATGCGCTCCTCCCGTGAAGGTTACGATCTCATGCAGGGGTGCGTGAGCGTGTTCCACACCTGATCCCAGCGTGCCCCATCCGGGCTGAGCTGCGGAGAGCAGCAGGCGGGGAGAGCTGGTCACGCCTGCCTCAACTGGGGGGCCCAGAGGACGGTTGGGACCTGGTGACCCTGAGCGGGAGAGGCAGCCGGGGCAGGAATCGCCCCCAAGACAGGCGGCCCTTTTGCCTCCTCGACACCCCGGGGACCGATTCGCGTGGCTTGGTGCCTGGTAAAGCTAGAGTCACTCGGGTCCCAGCCCCTCTCAAGCCACCTTTGCCCGCTTTGCCGTTGTCGGCGGCAGGGGAGGGGGCGGACAGGGCGGGTTTCCC